TCCGCTTGCCAGTCGGCTGGATGTTGTCGTCGTCGCCGTCACAGTGCACTGAAAAAATAATTATTTTTATTGAAATATTGTATATACAGGGTTGAGAAATTACTTAATATAAATTTTCCGAATGTATGAGATCCCCCCGTAGGATGAAATCCTGTCCTTGAATCACGATGACATTTTTTTCCCCAGTGTGCCATCGGCGTTGGTAACCTTTTGTTGGCGGGCTTTGTTTGTTTGTTTGTTTGGTCGCTGGCAATACTTTATTGTATTTCGCATTTTCGCCATTTTATTTATTGCCCTTCACATGGCAACCGAAAGCGAATCAGGCCGACCAGGCCAACCAGTCCAACCTGCTAAGACCACGAAGACCTCCAGAACTCCAGAACGTGGCTCGAAAGCTCAACAGTTTCGCGTCGTTCCAGCAATCATAATTCATTCATACTTTGTCCTGGCAATCGCATACATATATCCTTATCCACTTAGTAATCCGGGCATTTCCCACCATTTTCCGACCACCTCTGAGTCGGAATGAAATGCGAACCTAAATTAATTCATAATGAGGCGCAGCGAAACAGCAGCCTGGAATTTGTTTTTATTTTCCCTTTGTTGGGCTGCATATTTTTAGGTCCTGTGATGGGCAATTTGACAACATGCGATATTTAATTGAGTTTTAATATACGTAGTGACACACACACGCTAATACCAGTGGGGATATTTGAAATATAAACCTAAATGTAATGTAATTTAGCCATGAATGCGATAAGCATTACTCAAACCCTCAAAACCAGTAACCAAAAGTAAATGGATCGGATTTTTACGTGGAGGGCGATATGAAATGAGTCATAAATTAATTAGAGCGTTCTTTATATACTTAGTTTTACAGGATGATGGCAAAACTTTTATACATTATTAGTTGTGCCATTAGAAAGCGCTAAGAGGCAAATAATTTAATTTAAAGTGTAATTCGAATGCAAAACAAGTGCTCGTCAGGGGAAACGCGTGAGGACATCAAACAATTAAAATGGCAAGGAAAATTACATTAATTTTTTCCCCTTACTTTTAACAATGAGAAAGCCCCTCGGGGTCTGATTCATCGCTCGTTGGCCACAAAAATGCATCAGTCCTTAAAAAGGACAAAGGAAAAGGATCGGAAAGGAGTGGAATGAAATTCAATGACCTGTAATCGAGTCGAATTGCTGTTCCTTCCCACTGATTGCTCAATCGCCCAATTGATTTGAGTTTAATTTTCAGCTGCGAAATCCTGAGAACCTTCCCCCGGGACAGAACCCATTCAATTTGCCAGGAAGAACTGAGGCAATTCAATTAGTAATTCTTGCCTTCCGAGTCATATTTCCATCTCTGGCCTGGTTTAATTAATTCTGAAAAATTTCAATTCAGTCACTGCCAGCAAATTGAGGTCGACCTGAAAGGTAGAGAGCATTGATTCAATTATTGTGGCTTGAACCAGATATGTTTTAAGTAAACTATTATTTAACATCTAGCCAAACATGATATATAAATGGGCAATCCAACTTACTTGATTTAGGACAAGAAATTCTCTTGCTGCTCTTCCTTGTACTAAATCGATTCGAGTTCATTTTGGACAGTGATATATTGATTTAATCATTGAATTTTATCCCCAAAACGAATCCAGTTTGCGGATGCTGTTAATGATTATGGCCAGCATGTCTTTTGGCCAAATAAAGCACCACGAAATTCTATTAGTTTGGCCAGAATCTTAGCTCACATTAAATGGCATATATTGTGTATGTGGTCGCATTGTGTTTTGTGTGGGCTGGCAGGGCCCTATAGTGCGGTTATCCGTCTTCGTCCTGGCTCCTTTGTTCGAGTCACTATCCCAGTGTGTGTGTGTGTGTAGCTGTGGGCCAAATGCCAAGCAATTTGTTCCGAGCACATAAATCTCAAGAAATAATTGCTGTAATGGCACGCATTCGCAAAGATTTCTGTCCTCAATTGATAGAGAGCCGTCTGAAATATGCGAACCAAACTGCATTTGGCTTTGGTCTTTAGATTTTCATGCAAGATTGCTTTGGGATGGGGATTCGCAATCAATAAAATTTGGCATATATAAACCAAATATTCTTTAAGCTTAAGTTTAGCATTATTTGAGTTATTACAAGACCCTGAAATATATACTATTGCTAAATTGGTTTTAAAAACAAACTATAAATAGTTTCAAAGCTAATTTAAATAGCACGTCAGTATCAATATTCAAAATAGCGCAAAAATCTATAAATCGAAGTGAAGGAAGTGCGATTGTATCTTGTATCTAGATGCCTGCATATGTATCTGTGTAGTGGCGCTAAGCCAAAGTGCGTTCGTTTTGGCGGCGTCTGTAAGCCCAATTGGACTCTGCTTTGTTTGCCCTCGCTCCGGCCGGCCTTTTCCCATTGTTTGTCTAAGCCAAGCGCACTGTTGTTACTGCAAATACACACACAGACTAACTAATACTTGTACAAACTAATACACACACCATTACATATACTAAGTAACACATACGTGGGCTTTGGCACATGTGTGTCCTTTGCCATTGTTTGCTGAATTTATTGCACGAATTTCTGAATTGGCTCTTTGCGACTGTTTGTAGTTTTATTTTTATTATTTTTATTTTACCCATAAAGACGAGGCGCGTGTCCTTGAGTCTTATGCTAAAACAATGGCTATTCCTGGCCCCAAGTGCTTATTGGGGCGTCCAGAAAGGGGGGGCAGGTTGCCCATCGAGGTTATCCGACAGGATGCCCGTCAGGTGGCTGCTTTATGATTTATGCTTGTGTCATGTTAATTAGCACGATCTCGTCCTGATTAGGGTCGCCTCGTTTATGTATGGCGCATACGCCACGTTGTATGCGAAAATTTTCGGCTAATAAATGTCCTGACATTGCCGCCGGCTAAACAAACACTGCAAATTTTCTACAGTGGATGCTTAGTTAGTGGAAATTACTGAACAGACTAACTAGTTTATGGTTAGTTTATAGACTTATGAGGATTTATTCAAGTAGAGCGGAAAATATAGGATTAAATAAGCGACATGAACTATAAAGACCTCAAGTACAGTGAACTTTCGGTCGACCAACGACCGCCAAACAAAGGATCTGCGACAACAAAGAAGTCCCTACGACTAAACTGCCATTTTATTTGATTACTTCAGTAATTAGTAATTAGGGAAGGGAAAATAAAAGAGTTTCTTTTGAAAGAGTTCACTGTACATGGGTTCAAAGTTGGGTAGACATCCGGGGCTGCTGTTTGTTGGTGATATTATGGTTGTAATTTCCTTGTTCGTGGTTGGCCCTGATGTGTCAGGCATTTGTCTCATCAACATGTCCTTTCTGCAGGGAACCGAAGGCAGTCACATGGAATATATTGCGTATACGCCGTGTAATGAATACTCTTCATCCGATTGACGGCGCATGAATTTATGAAAAACGAAAAACAATTCATGGCGCTGGAAATCGGTTCTGGTGCAGAAACACATGTATTCTGTCCTCGAGGGCGAAACATAAATATGCAACATGCTTTCCGTACATCATTCGTGCTTGAGTGCGTTGCGCGTTATGCGTGCCTCGTGTGTTTACGAGTTTCCTGTCCGGGGCTGAACAAACCCGGAATTGTAGCCCGGAATCGTAGTCGTTACCAAAACCAAACTGAGAAATTGAGACCCGGCTTAAACCGATGAATTTGTGGTAAACTTGTGTTAGCTGTAAAGCTGCCAGCAGCATAAATTACAAGCAAATGCGGATTTGCAGTGTCTGCCTGGCTTGGCCAGAGCCATGTTGGCCACGTTCTGTCTCCTGGGTCTCTCGGGTACTGGGAAAAGTATTTATTCTCAAATCAGCTCCAAATCCTTCCCATTTGGCTTATAACCAAGGCCCGAAAACAATGGCATTTGCCTGTCAAGGGCGATTCTAATGTGAATGGATATTTTTACAAATGATGGTGTTTAGGCCTTCAGTTTGGAAAATCTTTATAAATAGAACAGGTACTAGATGCATGTGGGCCTTGAGCTTAACTAAGATGGTTATTAATGTTGGAATATTTTTAGACTTCGGGGAAGCCGTCAAGTTTTCATTTCCATAAATAATTGTGGTTAGTCATTTTGCCTGAAACATCGTTATAAATAGAAGTGCAGACATTTTAAGAACTCAAGTGCAGACAATCTTCTCCTGACTTGATGAATATTAATGTTAGGCCACAGCAAGCCAAGGCTTTGGGGAATTTAATTTGCCACTGGGCTGCAGTTATGGCTTCAACCTCAAACAAATATGCCAAATGTCCAGCCACTAATCCGAGTAAATAGCTGACTAAATAAGAGGCACTTGCCACAAAACATGCGTTGCATGTTCTCTATTTAATGATTTATTCAACGGCTGCTCGTGTCCATGGCAGCCATGCAACACAAATCATTGTCATGCAATTAAATAAAATATAATTTAAACGAATCTTAATTAAATGCTGCCATAATCGGCTCAACAATGGATTTTAAGGCCTCGCCGTTTAATATTCCATGCTGTCCGCATGTCCTTTTGTCCGCTTGTACGCCTGTCCGCTTATCCTGCTGTCCGCTTGTCCGCCTGTCCGCTTTGGGCGCGCCTAATCCAATTAACTGTCATAGACACACAAATTTGCCGTCAGTCAATTTTGCCGTCAGTGTGCAGTGCCAAAAAGTCGCCCACAGCTGTGACACTTTTGTCCTGACCAACCGAACCGCCCATCCCTGAAAATAGGCGTGCCTGCTGGGGGCGCCATCTATGTGTCAATGTCGGTTTCAGTTACAGACTTTCGGTGGCACTTTCGGAAATTGTTTCAACAACGACGGTTTGTAATTTCACACGCCGCAAAGTGATTAGCCCGACCTTTTGCCTCCGAACTCGGGCTCTCTTTCCTCAGAGTTCTCGGCTCTGATTGAATCCCCAAAAGCAACCAAAAAGCAAACCAAATCAAAGCCAAACTAACCCAAAAAACCACGTTTTCATTTCTTGTTGCAGTGAACGGAAAGAGGACGACGACTTTGATGTGAACCGGAAACGAGGGCAACGACTAAAGGACTAAAGGGGCCAAGGCAGTGTGCAAATTGATATAGTCGGCAGAGCAGAATGGATGAGGAGCACGACGACGATCGAATAATATGAGATTAGATGGGGCTCTAGAGCCCCGGCCCCGTTACGGAGCTGCCCCGTTCAAGGGCCGCTTCCCCCTGAGGCGCGAGACTCGCGAACAATGTGAGTCCCAGCAGCAACAGTCAGCCGACGAAGACGACGAGGCCACAGATGCTGAGTGTTTGACCAACGACAACAACAACAACACTATCCACAGCCGCAACAACATCAACAATTGGCCAGCAAATAGAGCCAACTTGAACTTACAACCAGCAACACTACGAACAACAAAGCAGAGTAGAGCAGCAGGTTCTGGGGCAGGAAACTTGAAACGCTGCTCGATGGTTGCCACCCTTAAAACGCGTGCCCCGCCATCGTTAATGTTAATGGGCCAGAAGGACCTCCATCCAGGATCCAGGAAAGCCAGAATGAAGGCAGCGGGGAGCAAGGGAGCCAGAGCTGGTAGAGGAGGAGCAGGAGCTAGAGCCGGTACAGGATCAAGATCAGGCTGGGAGCGGCTTAACTCGTCCCTCGTTCTGCTCCTGATTTCCGTTATTGCCCTAATGCCGCCGCTGACGCTGGGCGATGACGGTGATAATTTCTTTGCCGTGAATGCCTTCAGTGCTGGTCCGGAGACCACGACGCCAGAGTTCGGTAAGTAGATATTACGAGTACGCCCCGAATGATAAGAATGCAGCACAAGGTTGGAGGGATAATGCCATCCGTAGGCTGGCTCGGATACCTCGCCATGAAAATGAAAATGAGAATAGTCCTCACTGACGTCATGGAGGTGTCATGTATGTGGCGGCTGCCTTGACAGTCTTTTGTTCATTCTACTGCTGGAGGCAATTCCATTGCAATTGCATAAGCAGCAGCTTTGTCCCTCGAACAGTGACTAAAAATAGTAGGAGAATAAATGCCATGTATTGACTTGACAATTCTATTTCAAGTATTTTCAAAAATAACTAAACTCAGAGAACTTAATAGGCAAAAATAGATTAATGCTACTTCACAACTTTAAATTCGAGAATTTGAATTCGTGTCCTTAAATTTATTTATTTACTTTTTAAACAACCTTTAGCAAAGAGTCCCAATATCCATTTCCATTTAAATTAAACATTTTTCTTTGTATTCGCTTTGTAACCCGAATCCAGCTCACTTTTTTATTAAAATCGCCCAGACGATACCTGATAGACAGAAAAAATTTCAATAGTAAACTGTGTTATTTAACCCGCCCCGGTATTTCTTTATTTTCCTTGTTTATCCCTCGTAAATTGAGTTCTCCACATTTTTATTTTTTAATAAACTCAGTTCTTGGAAGCTGGCAGAGCCTACAGGAGAATTCCCCTGCTTTAATAAACCATACCATTTTTTGTAGAGCTCTTTTTGCCTTAAGGTAAGCCAATTTCCTGACAGCCACTGTGCTTGGGCTCCTCATTTCTGAATCATCCTCCGACTCCGAGCATTAAAGTAGTTTTCTCATACAAAACTTAAATGGCTTGTCTGCTACACAGAGTATATGTAGATTTTAGCCAGAATGTGAAAAAGTTTTCCATGTAGTCCCATTTTTTTGTATATGTACGGTTTAATGATGGCTCCGAAATAGGAAAAATTCGCTTAAATGGCTCGGCCCAGTTTGGTTAATTATAAATGCCGGCTCTAATGCAGCTCGGGCTGTTTAATGTGCTCCCATCATCTCGCCTGACAAGTGCAATTTGTAGTCGGATTTTAGGCGCATCCCTTTGGATGAAATATTAGCCGAAGCCGGACCGGGCTGGGCTTGGCCGGGCAATTGGGTAATCGCTTTTTGGTAAGGCTATCAAAAGGGTGGCCTCGGGTCAGGGCCATGGACCACGCCAAAAGCGGGAGCCCGCTTTGCTGAGCCCTCAGGGCCACCGCCAGGCAGCCACTTTGTCAACACTTTCACAGAATTTCCCCACGCTTTCTCTTCATTTTATTTTTTTGCTGGCCAGAGGAAACCATAACCAAATAAAGCTCAGCTGGGGAAAAAACGTAGGCAAAGCTTTGTGGAATGCTGATGCTGCGCCATCTGGGTTTCCTTTCTACGGACTTTTCCTGAAAGGATAGAGGGGGTTCGATTGATGTCGGGACTGGCTAATGCATTAGTAATAGTTTTCGATACGGTAAATCCAATTCGACAGTTTTATGACCTGGGTGGGTTTACTAGAAATCTATACTGCTAAAGATTAATCTTTTGAATATTTAAAATTGGATTAAATAAGGGACTTAATCATACATCTTCTTTAGAAATTCTAGAGGTAGTAACGTAAAATTTTCAATGAAATAAGTACGCCTTGAAGTACTTTTTTCCTCAAAATGATAGTCAAGTCAGTTACAACCTAGTCTCTATTTAGGTACTTGGTAGTCAACCATTTTGCCTCCTCAACCATTAGACGTATTAGTGTTCATATATGTATATATTTCTTGCTTTTTTTCGAGCCTCTTGAAAACTAAAGCTCTATTCATAGCCAGGCGTGCATTTAAAAATAAACCGCAAGCAAATAGACTCTACCCCACAACAAGCCCCTTACACATGCACAGCCATGAACTCATATACTCAAGCCCACACACACACAGACTGAGGAAGGCATCTGGAAAATGGCGCACCCCGTTTGCATGAGCAGCCATTTTGTTTTGTCTTTTCGCTTCCGTTGGCTTAAATGCGGGGTCTAGCGCTTCACATCCGCTACCAAGTTCATTCTGCTTTTTGGTCTTGGTCTTGGCTTTGGTCGCGGTAATTATGGCCGTGGAGTATCAACCAAATTAGTGAGGCAAATGGCAGGAAATACTGAAAAAAATGTATCTGATATAAATTGAAAATATGAATTTAAGAGGAGTCATTCCGATAATAAAGAAGGTGGGAACTATAAATGAATTTCCGGGATTATAAAAATTCACTTTTTGGAAGTGAAAACTAAAGCCAGCAATGTATGCGTTTGGGTTAATTTTATAGCTAGTTAGATTTGAAATCTCTTAAAAAGCCTTTAATATTTTTTACTGTGCCTCTGGCGTAACCCTTGACTGCTGCTGAGATTTTGCACACATTGTCGGTGGGAATCCCCGTGCCGGAGAGTTGTTCCCAAGAGCTTAATTAAGATGTGAAGGGCCGCAAACGCAACTCACTGCCGACTCGAGCATGTGTGAGTGCGTCTGCGTTTGTGTGAGTCATGTGTTTTCATTCCATTCAAAGTTAATGAAGGATTCCTAGCCAGCTATCCTAACTGAAAAGCGCCGAAGACTCGCGCGGCGAGTATGCCCCTCGAGGAAAACATCACACAAACACTCTTACACCTCTGGAAAACACATAAAAAACAGAGCCGAGCAGCAAAAACAAACACCTCCAAGGCTGCTAAAGAATTTACATTTTAATCTGCCCCTAAGTCGTTGGGGATTTACAAAAAACATTTTGCCAGAAACTTTGTTTTTTTTTTTTTTTTGGCCCCTTTGCTTGCCTTTTTTTTATTGATATGCACGGCGGCAAATCGAAAGTTTGTGTCGGTTTCGTTACAAATTTTACGCCTGGGATTAGTCACGAGTAACCAAAGTACTTTTTCCCTTTCGTCCTTTTTTTTAACACAGATTATGCCAGCCGCGGGCAGAAGAAGTTCGGCGACAAGTGCGAAAACACCTTGGAATGCGGTTTCCCCGGCTCCATATGCGATCCCAAGAAGAAATCCTGCCAGTGCACCGAGGATCTGCCCGTCACCAATCACATTGATAAATGTGGCAAAGGTAAGGCCATGATTCCCCCTCTATTTTCCTTCATTTTCCTTCGCTGTCACTCTGCCAAGTTTTCATTAAAAACCCGTCAGGGGAGAACTGCAGCGGCAAGTGAAATCCCTTCCCCAACGGGTTGTCTTGTCTTGATTGTGGGGCGCAGCCACAAATTCTGTAAATTAAAATAGAAACTTGGCATCAGCCGCAGCGGGTGGCAAGAAAGTGCAACTAATGCACGTTTGACATAATTATAATAGATATTTCTGTGTTCCCCCTTGATACTGTAAATTAGAATCAATTTGGTGGGACTTTCCGAGTTGAGCTTTGATTGGAATATTTATGGCTGCTTGGGATTCTCGAAATCCCCATCTCGACAGCTTGAGATCCTATTTTTATGGGTCTGACTCAACCCTAATGCCTGGCCAAGTGTTTCTTTGGCCATTGATCATCGTATGTTCCGTCAGTTTGACAGGCAGCCGGTCCGTCACTTGGTTATTTTTGTTGGCCAAGTATCTCAGCGATATTTGTCGTCCGAGTGGACAAAAGCTGGCCAAGTCAATCCCGGGTGGTCATATCGCATATCGCACTCCAATCAACCATTAAATCAATCCACAGACCGGCACGACAGCTGGGAAATATTTTTTCCGATAGTGAAACAGCTCCGATTGTTTATTATGCACTGTAAAAAATGTAGTTTTATTATACAATTTTAATACAACCCACAGAGGCCGCCGTGAACGAGTCCTGTTTCTTCAACGAGCAATGCGAGATGAAATACTTCCAGACGGAGTGCCGGGACGGACGTTGCATCTGCCGGTTCGAGATGTCGCCCATTTGGGGCAAGGACGGCTCCGTGGAGTGCAAAGGTCGGTGTGGTCACATACACTTGCTCGAAAACATGACTCGAACTTGGTGGTTAATGGCGCCATATTGTTTGCTTATTTGGCTTCATTCACAGGACGCCAGGACAAGAGGGGAGCCGAGGAATACATCGATCCGGCCATGATTGGCGTGCTGGTAGGAATGGCATTGATGTTTATTATTATTTGTGTCGTCCTGCGATTGTTTAGCCAGTGAGTAAATTGCAATGCAAACATCATCATTAAATCCACAAACTCACTCCCTGCACTTTTCACCTTAATAATCTAAATAGTCAAAACAGGTTAATAGCTACCAACTGCAGACATGCAAGACATACACTGGATTCTATTTAGAATCAATCTTCAGTTTACAATCTCTTACCATTTATAAGTACAAATTAATTTTCTTAGCCACTGCCTTTAGTATGTCTTTGCAACCTATCTACCGGCAATTTATACTTGCAACTACCTCATCTCATTTCAATCTCATCCATTCGCTCTTGCCAATAAACTGGGTCAATGGGTTTGCCGATGCTTTGATGGAACTTCATTAAATTGTGGTTGGCAAGCGATACATAATTCGAGCACCAATTAATTTCCACTCTAATAAACAGAATTTCTGCATTAATTGGCATTAAAGAGAGTCACCATCACCCCACCACCCACACACATTTCCTCCGCTTTGAAAGCCCACATCACCCGCCTTTCGTCTAGTCGTTGCTGAACCATGAAACGTAACTAATTTCTGCCATCTTTTCGCCGCACGGCAACCTGGCAACCCGGGTAAATTGCAGAGCTCGCTGGCGTGAGAACCGGACCATCTTCAATACCCCGAATCCGCGCCTGATGAACGTCTCCCTCCTGCGGGACAGCAAGCTGCTCCACGGACAGGAGCGCCGCGGCTCCAGGATGTCGGTGCGGGCCCCCTCTCGGCAGCCTAGCATGGCCTCCCTGCGGCCCCACTCGCCGAATCCGTCGCTAGGTAAGACAGGTTTGTATTCCAGTCCTGTCAGTGTCCTGCCAACAGTCCTGTCTCTGGTCTTCCGCGCGTGCATCTTTTGTTCTTTTTTTTTTGGTTTTGTTTTCCACATTTTTTTGTTGTTAACTTTTAGGTTGAGTTTTTCTATGGTCTGTCTGTTGTCTCAACAACTTGCAGAACTTTCTTTTTACAGCGAACGAAAGCGAAAACCCCCAAGTACTTACCCAATCAATCAATCAGTCAGTCAATCAGCCAGTCAGTCAATTGATCAGTCAGTCATCAGAAAACAAGAAACGAACATAATAAACAATGGGGGTTTTGGATGCACTCGAGATACTTAGCATTGGACGTTTAAGATACTTTTTAATTAATTAGATACAACTTTGAGGGCTTTTGAACTTTGGAATGTTCTAAATTTTTAATTTATTTTTATGTTGAATTAACGTGCAAATAAAATTCATTTCAATAAATGTTAAATTGCACTTATTTTAGTCCTAAGGATTTTTTTTTTCTATCAAATGAAATCAATCTCCTACACGTGTTGTACCAACGTTTAATTTACAATTATGATTTATTGATTTATATTCTTTTTATTGGCAACTAGTGCGTTGGGCGGTGTTGTGTTGCCAACCTATCTGGCCTATCTGACCATATTCGCCACCTTAACCCAACAGATATGCCCAAGACAAGCGGAGCAGGAACAACAACTCTTCGGGGGGCTCAATCACTTTGACTGACAGTTTAAGAACCGTTTTATTCAGCGCCATTACGGTGATAATTGTTGTTGTGCGAAGCCCAGCGGACAGTTGTTTGAAATTACCTTTTTTTTTGGGTAATATTTATATTGTTGTTTGAGTTTTGCGCCCCACCACTTACCACCACCACCCAACGCCTACTGCCCGCCCACCTACACCCCCATCAACCCCCGAAAAACTTTCCCCAAATTCGATGTCGCGTGCCCAGCTAAAAGCAAAATATTAAACGTATCCAACCGCTCATTTCCCTCTCCAACAAAAAATAATACAAAACACCTAAAAACAAAATCCACAAAACAAAAAACTGCGCCGGAAAACACAAACATAAACAAAAACCGAATACGGGAAACCCAAACAAAAAGGACGCATGATCCGGTCGAAGAGCAACACACGCTCGAGTGACTCCCGGGTGAGCGATGTGTCCACCTGCTCCCGATTGCTGGAGCATCCGAGCGCCGCCAGCCAGCACAACCTGGTCCATAGCCATTTTCTGCCCTACGTGCCAACGACTACGGCGGCTACCGTGACCGCCACCGCAACGACGACGGCCACGGCGGCGCCGGCAGGGTTGGGTGCTAGCACAACCACAGCCACAACGTATGCTGCCTCTGCCACGCCTTCGACCACGACCACACCAACGCCCACACCAACGCCAACGCCCACGCCCTCGGCAAACGCCACCAGCACCACCACATATGTGTCGTCTGCGGGGACGGTTCCATCCTGTGGTCGACCGACTAAGTTCTAGATCACCGCGATATATGTACATTTGTAATATATATATATTCTCTATATATATATCTGTCTGTATACGTATCACACACAATGACAATGAAAAATATCTGAAAACGCATCCATATCAGGGTCCAAGAGGTAGGCAGACCTGAGAAACCAATGCTAAAATCGTAAAAACGTAAAACCCACCCAACCACCAAAAAATACACCCAAATATGTTGACAGTCTGCGTAGTGTACTCGTATATTTGATGTCTTGTCTAGCGAAAGTTGCGTCCAAAAAGTTGTACTCGTATCCGTTTAAAGTACGCTTGGGAAAAATACGTTAATTTAGTTACTGGAAAATATAGTAAAATAAACTCTATAAATGTCCATTAAATATATGCTGTCTCCTGTCTATATAACTCTCCAATCTCCAATCTTATATACTATTTAATAAAATAAACGTAATTATCCCAAGTTTACCCGTAGTTTTCGTTGTACTCATTATTTTCATTGTTGGCTCGAACTGTTGTTACCCTAGATCTTAAGCCGTAGTTGAGAGTTGCAGTTAACCTGTTCGTACTACTAATAATACTCCAACTTTCACTACTCCTGCCACTGCCACCAAAGCCTCTTAGAGAACACCCAAAGATACTGAAAACCCAGATACAGATACAAATACAGACAAGATATCCAACAGATACAGATACAAGGAAAAACTCGTAACAAAAGCCCCATCGAAACTTGAAAACTCTTTCTAACCTACTCTGAAAATCCATTGCAGCATCCTTTTTAAGTTGAATTTCCGCTTTAGTTCATTTCCTTTCTAGCACGGCTATCTAACTATAGTTTCCTTAAATGGCTTTATTCAAAAAGACTATTTCAAATATAATAAATACTTATAACAAAACGGAAGACGATCAAAAGAGTAAGAGATATATTTTCAATACTACTTCAAATATTTGTAAAAACTAGTTTCTTTAATATTCAAAATTTAAGATATAAATGGTATATAATTTAAAAAGGAAATTAAGGAATATATTATATTTGCTCTTTCGATCGTTCTGTATATAGAACATATAATACAAAGTAGTAGAACTCGTAGAATCCAGTGGATCCAACCACTCGAACTCGAGTTCCCCGTTGATCACATTGCTGTTGTCCTGTGATGCCAACGATAACTTCCCTTCAATCGGTTATCCGTAGTGTCCAAATGAATATACTCTCCTTGACCTTCAGATACTAATGATCTATTTTGGTGAATGTTACCGCCCACAGGCTCCCATTCCGAGTCGCATGGCAGTGCTAGCAATGCCTCGGCCACATCTGTGCGCTCCAACCGCAGCAACTCGGTAGCTCCCGGCAAGGTGGCTCACCACGAGCGTCACGGATCAGCCCATCGCCAGCACCACCAACATGGCGGACACCACCAGCAGCAGCAGTCGCATCCGCAGTCGCCGCAGGATCAGTCGCTGGTCACCAACATCACCACCAATCCGGTGGCCGAGAGCGTCACCGTCGAGATCATTGAACCGGGACAGAAGTAAGGATGTATTTAGGATTTGGTAGAAGAAAAGGATACCCTAGGCAACATGGCATAGGCAAGATTAACTGGCAAACTCTCTGAACACGAACACTGGACACGAATTCGAATCGTCGATATGTACACAATAAATTTAAAAAAAGAAGAAAAATAATTCTAAAGCATATAGTCACGATACATGCACGCGATAATAAGGCTGGCTCGTCCTGGGAAATATCCAAAAGGGTCGGGTCCTGTCAGAAACCAACTTACACATGACGCCATTGTTAGACTCTTTTTTGACAAAGGAAATTTTTGCAATTAATGAACATTTTTTAACCAAACCAGTTATATACTTATTAGATATATACGGAGCATATAACACCTTTGCCGACACTCACACACATACACCAAAAACAATGCTAAATGAATTAACCGTAAAAAAATAATTGAAAAAAACCTTGCATAACAAATTCATACTACTCTTTTTTTTCAACCAAAAAAAAAAAACAAAAAATCAAGAAAAGAAAAGAATCTTTATTAATTTAAATAATATATTGTAATGCAGTTATATAATCTAAGCTTTGGGTTAAAGGCTTTAAGGATTTAACGAGAAAATAAAAAAATGAAAGGAAACCAAACGCAATGTAGAGAAATTCTAGAGAAACCCTAGTGTCAGGCTAGATCTCAACTCGTAGTGTTCTATAGCCAATTAATTGGATGTCCTTTCGCAAAGGAGGCCCTCAGCATCGTTGCCAAAGATGCGATTTATTGGGAAAACCCAAGAAACCAAAACCAAATTACCAAAAGCAAAAACCGCTGATACAACGCCTTATCTATATACTATATAGTAGTGAAAAGCCGCCTCCAATTGCCGCTCTAGATCCCACATATGGATGTTATTGCCCAAAAAGAAATCGATGGGAAAAAAACCAAGTTGAAGAGAGATATTTAACAACCTCGGGACCATATTTTATAATCAAAATATGCGTTTCATTGCGATGCACGCACGTTCACCATTATTCTCGTTTTGGGTTTTAGTCGTTTATGTTTTAGCCACTAAAAGGCCGTCAGATAAAGGATTAAATATGGTATGGATAGAGAATACTATATATTTTTAACAACTATTTGTAAACTGCTAGCTGAGCAAAGTTTTAGGGAACACTCACAACTTGATATTAAATATTTAACGCCTATATACAATGGTAGCGTCTCGACCAAGAGGCCAAAATCTAAATTGACTTCCATTTATGTTAAATTGTGCTAAATATTTAGTTTGAACAGCAGTTTCCAATGCCAGATACCACACACACATCCCAAGGATCGGAGTTGGGGACTCTTGAATTGGGCATTGGGCTAGTCGAGAATAGGGGAAGATTTTCGGGTCTGTCCAATGCGGAGTTTGAAGTCCATGCCGGTCGGAGGATCTTTGCGTTATAGCCAAGGTAGATATAGAGCAGTTTGATATTGATAAGGTTAAGTTGTTGCCCCAAAGTAACCAAATGGACCGTAATACCAAAAAACCGACAATTCTCATTTGCTTTTGTGCTCAATCAAAGAAGCTTAACTGTGAGAATACCAAAATGAATACAAGATACAAATAAATGTAGAGCGAAAGAAATCTTAAAGTTGCTTGAGAACTTCTTCTAGCCGAACAATTACAATTAGAGTAACAAACAAGAATATTTAAAAAAAAAATATAGAAACAAAAAAAAACGAAAACAATTTTATTAAAGCATCGAATTTTTCTTAAAACCAAAACAAATGAGCAAACAAACAATCTTATTTCTAGGACAACCAAATCTAGTTACTTATTTACATTTCGAATAAATGGCATTCGAGAATAAAAACAATTTAGACTTTGGAATTTGGGGAAGAATTTCAAGGTTTAACTTTGTTTTTTTCCTATACCAAACTGCAAAACAATAATATCTAAGCACCAAAGATTAAGAGTATATAACAAATAAATTTAAAAATGAGAATACAAATAAAAGAATTCACTGATTTTTCTATTTACATCAAATAATGTTGAAGGCAGACTTTAAGCGAATTTTAAATAAGCTAAAAATCAATGAGGAGCATGACGAGAGAATATTTTAAAACCAATTATATACATACATGAATATGCTTTATTTACTTTAATATTAACATTATACACAACAACTACATACAAATATTATATACACTTGTATTAAAGTTTCGTGAAAAAAAAAACAAAACTGCTACCAAACCGAATGCGATAAATTCATTTACACTCTACCAAGGAAAAAAAAAACTAAAATTTTATATATGAAGTCTCGTAAATCTAATATATATATACATCTAGAATCAAACGCCATTATCGCACATCTAAACTAAATTTAATGAGATAATTCGTTAAGCCTAGACGAGAAACAAAACTAATAGAGTTGAACACTTCGATTTCTCATGTGACTTGAAACTACAAAAAAAAGCATACAACTAGCAAGGATCGTAGTTATAGAGAGCGAATCAAGCCAGACAGTACGAGTAGCGGAAAAAATATAGAGGACGGTATACTTACATACAAACCTAAAATGATAATTGCTTTTTTTCAAACTTCAAGACGGCAAACGAAAGAGTTGAAACAACTAAGTACGAGTATATATTATGAAGTACATATAAAAGTATATACATATATAAACTATATTTAAAGATCAGTTCACTATAATAAAGTCTATATTACCATACCTTACAACAAACCAAAGCAATCTACACAGGTGTTCGAATTTATTAACAGCAGTCTTTCACAGAGTAGTCCCCTTCAACCCCGTGTCCAGCACGGAGCTCTCGTCCTCCGACTTGGCGTGGCCCAGCACTCGTTTCCGGTAGCTCTGCTCCGCCAGATATTTCAGGTGCTGGGCTGTGCCCACGCCGGTCTTCTCCACGAAACGGTGCAGGTATCCGTGCCTGTTGCGCAGCAGCTCGTGCGGATGTCCCAGCTCCACCACCCGTCCCATATCAACCACCATCACCCGATCGTTGTCCATAACTGTATGGAGTCGGTGGGCAATGGTCAGCACAGTGCAGTGAGCGAATCTGGAGTGTATGGTTGCCTGGATGAGATGATCGGTCCTGGAAATCGAATTCAAAATACATTATTTTTTAGGGAATTATATATTCCTTTATAACATCATCTATTTACTTTTCTGATTCTGGTTCTTCAAGGCATAATCTATACCAACTATAGTAAGCATTTAAAATGTTACTCTTAAGGCTTTCCCGCCACAAAACTTATATAACCAGGAACTATTAATCAATAGTAATAATAGTATCTTTTTTATTGAGTTAGTCTTTTTTTTAAAACTGTCTAGATAACAAAATAAACAAATTTTACTACGCAGTTTCCTGAATTTGAATATGAGAATATTAAACAAAATGTCTGCCCTGTCATTTTTGACATTCGTCATTTTTGGCTGTCCGCTCTGACGTCGCGGTTTTTTGTACTTTCAGAGGCATTGAATTATGAAATCAATCAACATTTTACGGGTTTCCAAACCAATCTAATTAGTCGGTCAGCTGATTTTAAGTTAGCGTCTAAAAAAGTTTAAGGAAGTATTATATTTGACTTACTCGGGATCAACGTTGGCAGTCGCCTCGTCCATGATGAGTATTTTGTTCTGGCGGAGGAGAGCTCTTGCCAGGCAGACCAGCTGCCTCTGGCCCAGACTAAAGTTAGCTCCATTATCGTGGAGGCGACACCATAGCCCGTCCTTAAGATTCGATACAAACGCCTTCATGTTGACAGCCTCCAGGGCGTGCCAGAGCTCCGCGTCCGACTTCTCCTCGAACGGGTCGAGATTGAAGCGGAGAGATCCCGAGAAGAGCACCGGATCCTGGGGGATAATCGAGATCCTGCTCCGCAGATCGTGCAATCCCAGATCCGCGGTGTCATAGCCATCGATGGCTATGTGGCCTTCGTTTTGGGCCAGCCGGAAAAGGGCCTGAGCAATCGAGGACTTTCCAGCTGCCGTGTGGCCCACAATCCCAATCTTTTCTTCTCCCCGAATGGTAAAGTTTAGTCCTTTGAGGACATAAGGACCGTGGTTGTTATAGCGCAGTCGCAGATCCCGGAACTCCAGCTGTCCGCCACTGGGCCAGTGTTTTGGTAGCTTAACCGATTCCGGAGTCTCGTAAGCGGGTTCCGAGGGGATATTGGCATATTCCAGGACCCTTTCCACACTGGTCATCATGTTCTCCAGCTCGACGGTCTGTCGCATTCCTGCCTGACACATTAGCACCAGGTTCATGGACTGGGTGATGGCCAGACCTACATCTCCACTATAGTAGCCCCGCCGGCTGTCAAAGATCAGGAAGCTAAAAGTCACAGCCGCAATGTAGAGGACACATATGAGATCCGTCCAAAAGGCAAAGGCTCTATTGATGCTGACATAAAGATATAGTGCGGAGGTGTTCTCGTTCTGGTAATAATGGAAGCTCTCTTCCATCCGTTTTTTTCCATCCAGAGCTCGGATGGTGGCCAGACCCCTAAAGGTGGTATTGGTATGGGAATAGATGGGACTGCGGGCTGGAATTTGGAAATATTTTGTAACTATTTGGGTAAGAATCTCATAATTATAGTTAGTACTCACTTATGGTTTCAATTCTTTTCAAACTCCGGCTAGCTCCGATGTACAGACATCGACACCCGTATAGTAAAGCCACCACAACGATGGCCGGAATCAGGAGCCATATATTGGCGGTACTCACAACCGCCAGTACGGCCAAAGCGTTCACCGCAAACTCTATGGAATCCATCAAGGACTGGGGAAGGTTCACATCAATGGCCAATATATCGCTGGAAAAGCGATTCAGTATCCTGCCGGAAGTGGCCACAGTAAAGAAGTTCATACAGGCACTGATGATCCCCCGGAAGAGATCGTTGTGAATCCTTAGAGAAATGCGCAAAGTCATCGCAAAAAATCCAAAAGTTCGCAAAACGTAGAATATCAAAGTGCTCAGGATGAGGAAGGTATACAGGGTCACCATGTGCATACGGGTTTTATGATACTCCGGGACTGGCTCGTGGAGATTTGGCTCCGTTTCCTCCCAAGTGGCCCTGTTATTAATTAATATTTAAACTAAATAAATGTTTCATGGAATTTAAAAAAACAATTTAAAGGGAAATCCTCTTAGTTATAGTTTTTATCTTCCTAATAGTAGAAGTATTGAACTAACCAGACAACATGCATTGTCAAGATAATACAATCGATTACATCTGTTGGGAAATCCTGACTATATTTATGACAATCAACAACTGGAACAAGTACACGCGTTTATCAATCTCTCTTGATATTATAACATCAACATTGTAAATCAAAATAACTAGCAACCAATGACTCAACTTCTTTTTAATTTAGTCACTAGACACTCAAAAATCTTGACTTGGATTTCGTCAGATAGGGAATTTTTCGGTTCTATTTTTAATCTAATAAAGTATTTCGCGAAATCTAGATGTTATTACTCACCACTTGGAGAGAAATATATCCATTGTAGCTTCCGAAACACGGGCCACGACGAACAAAATAAGGATTATGGCCACCACAACAGGGTGTCCCAGTTCCCGTAAATAGGCCCTGTAGGTCTTCAACTTGACCGACCCTTTGTCCTGCTGCTCCTTGAACTGTTGCTCTAGTTTATTCCGGTCGAGGTGCTCCTCCTGGGTTAGGGACTTTCTCGGCTCCGGATCCTCGTAAACACTGTCCGTACGCATGGCCCTTAGCTTCGCTACCTCAACATCATTGGCTACCGACATCCGGAAGTTGATAAGTTTTCTTAAGGCATCGTATTTCCCCTGGACAGAGATTCGCCCGCCTTCGAGCAGAAGAAGATGATCCACATGACGCAGCAGCTGCACGCGATGGGTGACCAGGATGCGGATCTTGTTTGCCAGGAACTCGTTGAGGCAGCGATCTAAAAGCATTTTGCTGACATGGGAGTCCACGGCGGACAGAGGATCGTCCAATAGGTAGATGTCAGCTTTTCGGTAAACTGCTCTGGCCAAGCTAACGCGAGCTTTCTGGCCTCCACTTAAACTGGCACCGCCCTCACCCACTCTAGCAGAATCTCCACCAGGTAACAGTTCCACATCCTTGTCCAGGTGGCAGACTCGAAGGACCTCTTGATATCGTTGCTCGTCGAAGGGCTCAGTGAAAAGTATATTTTCCCGAAGAGTTCCCTTCAATATCCACGGTTCCTGGGGAGCGTAGCTCAGAGCCCCATTCAACTCCACACTCCCGCTAATAATGTCCAGTTCTCCCAGAATGGCTTGAAGCAGAGTACTCTTTCCGGCACCTACCGTGCCCACAATTCCCAAGAACTGCTGGTCCGATGCCTGGAAACTGACGCCCTCAATGTGTCGTTGGCGCTTCTCCTGATTGGCCTGATCCCAGCTAGCCGTTAGTTTCTGAACCGTGATACTCTTCACCTTCGCCTTTGGATTATGTTTACGGCCGTAGAAATTCCCGTGATCGGGGCTCTCATCCGTAGTCTTAATGTTACCCACTCCGCCATCTGAAGGGTTCTCGTGTTGGAAAAGGAAGTCTTTGACGCGGTTGGCCACCACAAATGTCTCCACCCACATATTTATGGCCAGCGGCCAGGTGTGTAGAAGTGAATCATTCAAGTGATCGTAGTAGCTGGAAACTATGAACACCTTCTGGGCGGTGACAATGTCGCCGGTGAACACATAGGTTACCAGTGAGAGGAACAGCGAGAGCTTAGAGATCATGTCGGTGCACTGCAATCCCGCATAGATGTAGGTAGATCCTCTGATGGCTTTCATCTCCTCCTTTCGCACTTTGGCGATCAGCTTGCCGAAGGACTTCTCCCAGGCGTACATCTTAATCAGCTGCATGGCGGCGATAATCTCATTCATTAGCTTCACCCGATCGTCTCCGAATTCGGCGGATTTTCTCTTGTACCGGCCGTTTGCCCGGGCGGCCCAAGCCTGGAGTGGAATAAATGCCAGGATGGCGGCGAGTCCCACTATCGCCGGCCATCCAATCAATTGGTATATGATGTAGACGAAGACAGCGCCCTCCAGTGGGCCGCGCCACAGCTCGTGGAAGTTGTAGAAGGCCTCATTAAAGGTCGGCAGGTCCGTGGCCATCAGGGCTATGGCATAACCACTCACCCCACTGGTGTCCGCCGCCACCGAGACCCGCAGGAACTTACGGTACACGAGTCCAGTGCAGGCCAAGCGGATGCGCGAGCCCACACGGAAGAGGTACTTCATAAACGGATGATAGAAAAGCCCAGAGATCAGGGAGCAAAGTACTACGCCCATGGCATACATGTAGGCCGAATGTTTGCTGATATTGTTAGAGCTCTCCGAGAAGAAGGACACTAGGCCACCCAGCATCAAGGGCTGTGTGGTGCTGAAGGGACCCAATGAAAGGTAATGAATGGTGAGGTTTTCACTTTTTATAGAATACTTACTGCACTGCAATGGTCAGGATTGAATAGACAATGCTCGATGGAATAAAACTCCAGCCGTAGGCTCTGAAGATCATGCGCAGGACATTGGGCTTGGCCCGCTGCAGCTCCTGCTCCCAGAAGACCAACAGATACGAGGACACATTGCAGCTCTCTAGACTCGGATCGGGAGCATAGAGATCTGCGGGATCGAGATTCCGGCGCAAGCCTTTCATGAGAATCTCGCTCGTCCAGCTGCAAGTAGACAGAGCACAAAGTCAGTGAAGAGTTCCGAGGGGTGTTGATGGACGGACGACATCGTGACAGGTGTCGTCCAGATGTCGGGGCTATTTATCGCGTTTCACAGGCGAGTCCACTCGTGCGGCTGTAAATTCCGAGTGACGGCCAAGGTACTGGCTATAAATCTGGCAGCGGGCAGTTCGTCACTCAACTCCGTATCTAATCAGCAGGACTTCAAGAGGGGTCAACGCTTGAAGTCCCTCCGAATTTTAAATTTAGCAAAACACTTCTCACGAGTTAACTTATTTCGAAATATTACGTATACGCCACGGCGACACACGACGGACACGAATCACTCACATAAAAAACCATTTGGAGAGGAAATTGGCCTTGGCCACTGGATTTGGTTTGCGTTGCTCATAGGCGGCACTCATTCTAGTTAGCCAATCCCCTCAAACAATATGCATAGGTGGCCAAATATCACATATGTATGTATGTAGATCGTTGACACGATTTCTTCTTTCCACTCGCGTGCGGTTCTTGTGCCGCTTCAGTTTCAACTAACTGCCTGCCCGTCCGGACAATTCAATTTGAACTAACTTCGCGCGACTACGTTGTGGTCGGGAATCATCGCCATAAATCAATGATCCGCCTGCCGTCCTATCGAACAGCCCAGTTTTATCTTAATTCCCGATGACAGCAACCCATCACCGGAGCAGACGCTGCAACAACTGCCGCTGATTTTTTTTGGCTAAGTGTGTTTTGCTGTTTTTTTCCCAAAACTTTCGATCCGCTCGCGGGACATCCCGACCGATTCGCTGGAGGGGGGCTAGGGGCAGTAGATTCTAGTGACCACCTCTCCCGTATCTTATCGGAGCCGGGGGTGCTACCGTGTTGACTTACTTTGATTACACTTTTCAGCAATTGACAATTTTAATTGGAAGGTTCATCCTTATCAATCCGCTGATGATTCACACGGATGTTAACAGTCCCGGACATGCTGTTAATAACCGATTAGATATTTATAAGCTGAATGACTCAAAAATAGAGTTACTAGCCAAAAACCTAAATAACATCAAAGAAACCACCCGGTGTTGAATAACAAAAACTCGTTGCATTCTTTTTTCAATTTATAAGTAATAATTCTCAGGCACTTTATTGAGATTGTACGTATCTATAAGTACGATTTTGTAATCCTACATTAGCTACATATATTTTTAAAAAAGTACCTAAATAAACTATTTGTCTTAGTTTGATTGAATTTGCTCTGATTTGTGCGCGGCGCGAATTGCTTTTGATTCGTTCTTCGATTTGAACACATGAAGTACAAGACGTTTGAAGTACATACACACTAGTAAGCTAGTGGAACAGATGCATACACATAAATTCGTAACGATAAATAAGCTTACATAATATATCCCGTAAGTACAAGGCAATAGGTAAATGGTTAGCTTTAAGTACATAACTGTTATGTACATAATACTTTAAGTTTTTATGCTCTAAGCCCTAAGTTTTGTGTGTGTTTGTGTGTTTGGTTACTCCGCCCTTTCCTCCATCGCCAGGGTGATGTTTATATCCTCGTCGTGCGTCCCATCGCCTATCAGTTGTTTACTGTAACTCTGCTCCGCCGCCTGCTGCAGAGCATACGCCGTGGCCGCCCCAGTGTGGTCCACCAACTGGCGCAGGTATCCATCGGGTCGCTGGAGCAGCTCATAGGGATGACCCAGCTCCCGAGCTTCCCCAGCGTCCATCACCAGCACTCGATCACTGTCCATCACGGTGTGCAAGCGGTGGGCTATTGTCAAAACTGTGCAGTGAGCGAATTTGGAGCGAATTGTCCGCTGGATTAGTTTGTCCGTTCTGAAAAATGCAAGAAAATCCCATTGAAATAAGATTACTCTGATAGGCTACAGTATTTCACACTCACTCAGGATCCACATTGGCCGTGGCCTCGTCCATGATCAGGATTTTGTTGTGTCTCAGTATGGCCCTAGCCAGGCAAACGAGCTGCCTCTGACCGACACTGAAGTTGGATCCGCCGTCGTACATGCGACAGTTCAAGCCCCCAATCAGTGTCGAAACATATGAACGTAGCTCCACATCGCCCAGAGCCTTCCACATCTCTTCGTCTGAGCGCTCGTCCATAGGGTCCAGGTTATATCGCAACGTACCCGAGAACAGAACGGGATCTTGGGGTATAATCGAAATGTGGCTTCGCAAATCATGCAGGCCTATGTTTTCAATATCCACATCGTCGATACGGATCATGCCCTCGTTGCAGGCCAGGCGGAAGATAGACTGAATAATTGAAGACTTTCCGGCACCAGTGCGACCCACAATGCCGATCTTCTCGCGTGGCTCAATGGTGAAGTTCAGATCGCGAAGAACCGGTGCTTCCTTGGGTGAGTAGCGCAGTTTGAAGTTCGTGAACTCGATGCGACCTTTGCTGGGCCACTCGGTTTTTGGCTTGAACTTTTCGGCAGTTTCCAAGGGCGCCTCTGAAGGTTGCTCCGTGTACTCCAATACTCGCTCGACGCTGGTCATCTGGTTCTCCAACTCGGCTGTTTGTCGCATACCCCACTGGCACATACCCGTCATTGTGGTGGAGTGGAGAATGGCCAGGCCCACGTCGCCGCTAAAGAATTCGTTTTTGAGCAACAGAAAACTGAAGGTTACGGCCGCCATGTATCCAATACACAGCAGGTCCGACCACAACGCGAAGGCTCGGGTGCAGGAAAGAAACAGGAACCAGGCAGATGTGTTAGCGTTTTGGTATCCATGGAACTCCGACTCCAGGGCGCTTTGAGCCTGCAAAGCGCGAATGGTTGTTAGACCCTGGAAGGTTTGGTTTGTCAGCGAGAACACCGGACTGCGAGCTTTAAAGAAAGGGATATTGTTATTATTTTACACAGAATTATCACAAATGGCAACATACATATGGACTCCAAGCGCTTGACACTGCGGCTAGTGTTCACATACAGATAGCGAATACATCCCAGAATGATAACTATCACTCCCGCAGGAACCAGTAGCCAGTAATTGGCTATAGCCACAATGATCAAGACACCGGATACATCAATGACAAAGGCCAGACAATCCAAGAGTGTGTGCGGGAGATCCGTATCCACAGTGCGTATGTCCTTTGAAAAGCGATTCAGTATTCGGCCGGAGGAGTTCGTATTGAAGAAGTACATGCTGGCTCGGGTAATTCCTCTGAAGAGTTTGTCGTGAAGGTGGAGCGAAATGCGCAGGCACATCTTGAAGAAGCCGAATGTGCGTATGAGATATACCACCAGCGTGGTGCCCAATATGATGGCATAGAAAAGCACCAGTTCCTTGCGCACATTGGCCTCAATACTTTCAGATACAAGGGGCGTTGCAGAAGTGTCTGTTGCATTCAGGGGCAGCGTATCATTGGCAGGCATTGGATCACTTTCGTTCAGCAGAGCAGCAGTGGCGTTGGCTGCCACTTTTTCCTCCCAGATGACCCTAAAAAATTAATTGGCTCTGTTAGTTACAATTTAATTGAAAAGTTAGTAAGATCTTACCATCGTGACAAGAAGTAATCCACTCCGGTGAGCATCACCCTCGCGACAAGGAACAGACCGACAATAATTCCCAACAGGAAGGTACTGTCCAAGGCTTTGATATAGGAGGCATAGACGTGGAATTTGACAGAGCCCACTGACTGCTGTTCTTGGTTCAACTCCTCCACCTCTTCGTCCGGCCGCAGGAGCTGATTGTGAGCATGGTGCTCCATGCTCTTCTCCGAATCGCTCCGAGATAGGAAACTGCTCACACTGTGCGTATCAATGCCACTTTCGTCATGCTGCGTTTGCTCGAGGAACTGGAACTGGCGGGAGCTCTGTAGCTGCTGGTAGCTACCCTGAGCCACAACCTTGCCGGATCCCATCAACAGCAGGTGCTCCACGTCGAAAAGGTATTGCACCTGGTGCGTGACGAGGATTCGTATTTTTTTGGACAGAAAATCACGGATGCAACGATCAAATATGTGCTTGCCCACGTGGGTGTCCACGGCGGATAGAGGATCATCTAGAAGGTAAATGTCTGCCTTGCGGTAGACGGCTCGGGCCAAACTCACTCTGGCCTTTTGTCCACCACTGAGACTCACACCCCGCTCTCCAACCACTGTCAAGTCTCCTCGAGGAAGTAGCTCCAGATCGCGCTCCAGCCCACACGCCTTCACCACTTTCTTATACCTTCTCTCGTTGTAGTCCTCCACAAAGACAATATTGTCGCGGATAGTGCCCTCGAAGACCCAGGGCTCTTGTGAGGCATAGGAAATCGTTCCATGTACCATGGCCTCACCTTTATCAATGCCAACTTCTCCCAGAAGTACATTCAGGAAGCTGGACTTGCCCGCTCCCACGGGTCCCACAACAGCCGTCAGAGTTTGATCTGGGATTTCCGTGCTGAAGTTCTCGATGGCGCAGTTGGCGTGACCATCACTCGTGTCCCATGAGGCACTTACGTTCTTGAGGATCACACATTTCCTTTCTGCATCCGGATCATAGTCCCTCAGACGATTGTGCTGCACCTGGCCATTGGACAACAGAGATCCATTCAACTCCACATTCTTTTGTTTGTCTTGCTTGGTGATCTTTCGCTTATTCTTGCCAGTCTGCTGGTTGGCCTCCAAATTAATTGGCACTTCGGCTTTGTCTCCATCCAACAAGAACTCCTTGCAACGTTTTGCCGATACGAGAGCCTCGGCTATGAAGGTAATGGACAGGGGCCAGAAGTGCACCATGGAATCGTTGAGCATGTTGAAGTAGGAGGATACGGTGTACACCTTCTTGGCGGTGAGCGGATCCCCGAGGTAAACGTAGGAGCACAGGGCGAGGAATACGGACAACGGCGATATCATGGAGGTGCATCCTAGACCCGCGTGGATGTAGGCAGTTCCCTTAATGGCTTTAACTTCCTTGAGACGCACCTCGGCAATGACGCGGGCGAAGCTCTTCTCCCACGCGTACATCTTGATCACCTGGATGCCCTGGATGATCTCGTTCATCAGCTTCACTCTCAAATCCGTTCGCTCGGCCGTCATCTGGCGGTAGTAGGCTGCCTTCTTGGCGGCCCACGCCTGTAGTGGAATAAAGCTGAGCATGAAGGACACGCCAATCACTGAGGAGATGCCAATTTCTCGGTACATGAGGTAGCCAATCAGAATCGATTCCAGCGGTCCCTTCCACGTGTCGTGCAGGAAGCACAGCGCCACATCGAACCGCCCCAGATCGTTGGACAATATGTTTATGGCTCTCCCACGAAGGCCGTCATTACTACTGCTCTTGGAGACCTGAAGGCACTTCCTGTAGATTAAACCAGACAGAGCCAGTCGCAGCTTAGTGCCCACTTGGAAGATGTAAAAGATAAAGGGATGGAATGTTATCACGGGCACCAGCATGCAAATCACGATTCCCAGGGCGTATAGATAGGCGGCCTGCTCACTGATTTCAGTCTGATTAGTGGCAAAGTAACCAACGAGGCCGCCTAGAAACAACGGCATTAGGGATCTGAAAATTGGAAGTCATATGGGATTAGCTAATCCGTTGTAAAGACAACTTGGTACCTACTTGCAAATCGTTTCGCAAATGGAAAAGGCCAGTCCTAAGGGCACAAAAATCTTTCCGTATGCTCGCAGGATCATCCGCACCACGCTGGGATTACTTCGTTTGAGCTCATCGTCCCAGAGTTCAGCAAACTTGTTTGTGACTCTTTCGCTGTCCAGTGTCTTTCTGTGCTGGTAGAGCTCCTCGTCCGTCAACGGACCTTGAAGGCCGCGCCTAAATAGATCTCGCATCCACCTGAAAAATAACAAAAACAAATATTTTCAATAAACTGAAATAACTGAAATAAAATAGTATTGATTGAAGAGGTTTAAATGATCTAATTTCTAACACCTTATTTCAAGATGCATCTCTAGGTATGATGAAAATTGTGTTTGCCTTTCAATTATAAGCCTATTATCGTTTTTTAATAGCTCGAAAATTCTTTAATTGCCCTGATAGCAAAACAGAGGTAAGGTTCTTTAAGCCTTTAGCTTTTCAGAGATTTTATTAGGTAAACTCTACGTAATGACCATTATTAAGATAAGTTGTCGAAGGCGTGTTGCTTGAAAACGCCTTTAATTTCAGAGAGAACTATAAACAAAGACAATTTTCATGGGAATTTCGTCAGATTCATTATGTGCGAAGTTCCCCCCAGACATTGTTTGATTCATTATTAATCAAGCAATTGTGGTTGTGTAGACACTTGAACATACAGTGGATACCACTTGAAATCAACTTTCTATATATAAACCGTATATGACTGGGATTTTCACAGATTCTTCAATAAAAGGAAAATCATATTTGTTTATAGTTGGTTCAAGTTCTTTTAACTATATTGTAAACATCTCTTAAGATCTTTAAGAACAGTCTCTACTGTTTCTTTTGTTGGAAAATCTTCAATTAAAGTTCCTGGACTAGATGCTACATTAAAGTAATATTGTACAAAAACTTTACGCCTTATCATCTCGTTTCATTTGTTTATTAAAGGAAAAACGTAATAAATTGCGGATGCCAGATCCATCTGGTTACAATTGGCAAGCGTACGATGTGGACACCAGATAACAATGTAACCTTGCGGCCAACAATGACATCCAATAAATGTGTGGCGTCCAATTTAATCGATGTGCGTACTAAATATTTCTCATTAGACTTCGCCCCGATTTTTGGTTGTTGGCGGGGCGATAACGAACTTATCGGCCCAACAGGCTAATACAACTAAACTAATTATATGGAATATCGGTGGAACTTGGGTGGTGTCCCGGCCTGATAACAATATGATACCACAATATGGCAAGAACAGAGAACACGTGCTTAATCACAGCACATAAAGTATAATTTACCGTAAATAACACTAGTTAACATAAAAACTTTCAGGTATTTAAACAAATAGGGCTTGTAAGTTAATGACTAAAGAGGTCAGAAGTCTTAAAACACAATCAGGCTAAATATGAGATTTGTTTTATTTAGTTTTCATGAGTAATTATTTATTTTGTTAACTAATGTAATTGCAGGCAGGTGAATAATAATGGTGCACTCCACATACAGACTGTATGTACCAAGAAAATATAATTCCTAGAGAACAGAGGGTTATTGTTCGGATCCAAGGATACTTACCAGAAGCTCCATTGTGAGAAGATATTCGCCTTGGTGTAGGGATTCTTTGGACGGACAACCTTTCTTCTGGTGCGGTTCATATTTTTTTGGGGAGTAACCGGCTAGGGGGATTAACCGTTACGGCACTGATTCACTTGCTTCTTCTTCGTAGGAAAGGGCAGTGAAAATCAATAACCCACAGCCGGCAACAACAAATCAGTTGGCAGGTGGACTATGTACGTTTATTTACGTACATATGTTGTCTAGGTCGAGGTCAGCAGCGATTGGTTCACCGTTATGCACAACTCTCCCCAATCCTAATTTACCGTTTACAAAAATTTGTTGCTGCTTCTGCTGCCTGGTGGGGAGTGTATGTGTTGTGTTTGTCGTTGTATTTGTAATTCAATATAATATATATATATGCTAATTAACAGCCGTCTGGCACAGCCACACTAACAATATTCACAATTTCCGAGACGAAAGTACTTATGGCTATGGGATTTTACTACAAATTACACAAAAAATAACGCTTAACCGAAACTAAGAGCGCTACTATCAAAAAAGAACTGAGCGGGAAAGAGTGAGAGCCCCGGAATATATACTCGCTGGCGTTGCCACCCGGTACCACAAAAAGATAATTGAACAAATAAACCATGGGCGTGCCAAGAGGGGTTTAAAATAAAATGTGAATGTGTCCACAAAAGTGTAAATATTTACGGGGTATTTCAGTCGAGAAAGTAAATTTGCATGGGCTATGATATTTTTTATGGTTAATATTAAAGACAGATGGGCAGAAATTGATATTTGGAGCCTTATTTTATGACAAATATAATCTTGTCATAACTACTTTCTATATTTCTTACTTTTACGCTAATGTTTATCCTGTTATCTATAAAATCGAAACATTAAAATGATTTCTTTATAATTAACCATAAATATCGACAGCCAATGGGATAAGGTTTTCTAAACTTACCTATATATCCTTGAATAAATAAATATATATATTATCCCCCTCAGTTAAGCCCCTGTGACCCCATAAGAGAAGCCAACAATAAACTTAAGAGAGCTATCATTGCCCAGAATTGTGAAATTGTTTATGTTTGGCAGAAGCTTGCAACAAATGGCGAAACAAACTTACATTCTCAGAAGCTTTTCAAAGATTAAATTAAGAAGAGGTAGTCGGCCGCCAAAACGTCACAGCAATAAAAATTATCAGATAACCCCCATAAAAATATAAACACCCAACTAGGTAATTTACATCTTGTACGATGAACATTTTATTTTATGATTAGGGATTAGCATTTAATCAGCGTATGCAAAGGGGGTTCCTCGCTTTTGTTTAGTGTATACATCTGGAGAATAGTGTGCAAGGTTGAAAATCGAACGGGTTTACTTAGATAATGACAAAGAGCATGCCCATTTAGTCCTCGATGTACTCGAAGGGCTCTGGCGGCTCAGGCTCCTTCTCCTCGTCGTTCATGGGCCCAAAGGCAGCCACGGGCTCCACGAGCTCTTGATCCTCGGCCTTGCCGGTGTGCTGGAACACGATGATACCGCCGATGGTTACTTCCTTTAAGGGTTCATACAACTGGCCATCGATAACGCTGAGGACTTTGAGCTGCTGACGCAACACACGAGCGGGATTCTGCAGGATTTCGGATGTGGGCTCCGGCTCCTTCTTTTCCTTCTTGTCCTTTTCTTTTTCCTTCTCTTTGTCGCTGGAGCTGCTGGTGCCCGCTGCCTCCTTGTCCTCCTCCTTCTTTTTCTCCTTCTCCTCCTTCTTCTTGGGCTTCTCCTCGACGGCAGGTTTCTCTTCGGTCTTGGCTTCTTCCTCCTTTTTGACAGCGGTGGTTGCCTCCTTGCTGTCCTCATCCACGTCCATCTTCTCGTCCTCTTTCTTGTCGGCGTTTTCGCGTCGCTTCTGGCGGGCAGCGATGGACAGAACAGCAGTGGCCACCTTCTCGCGCTCCTCGCTCTTTTTCTCCTCCAGCGGGGCGGGGTAAGCGTACAGCGATGGCTTGGCCGCCGACTTGAACTCCATCTTGGGCATCTTGAGGTCAGAGTTCAGACCAATCACGCAGGTGGGCGTAAAGGCCAGCGACAAAGTGTGAGCCAGCGGGAACCAGTACCAGTACTGGGTGAAGGCCAGCATGCCCACGACGGCCTGCAAGTTGGTGTGGCCTGTGCGAGACTGCAACGAGAGGGTTGCGTTCCTGCCACCAGCATCAATGATGCCTGAATTGAAAAGTTAATGATGTCTTGTTAGAATCGCATAATCCAATTGGAATTGATTTCAAAGTCCTACTCACCCTGGGCCAGAATGGCACCGTACTTGGCCATCACATCCTCGTGCTTGTTGCTGATGACCTCAGCATACAACTGGCGGAAGAACGTCGTCTTGGGGCAGCTCTGGTCTGTGTGCTGGATCAAGATCATGGCAGATGCGATCAGGGCACCCTGGCGCACAAAGTTCACCGGATCGAACTTGACCATCGGCTCCAGGAGGGCAATGGCCTCTCGCAGTCCAGTGCCGGCACAAGCGATACCCAACGCCATGGCGGCTCCGTAGCGAACGTGCGGATTGTACGATTCGGCCAAAAGACTAACCACCGAAGGGCACTGTTCCGGAGTGCGGAACAGAATGAAACCAATGGCGGTAACAGCGGCGCGACGCACATCGTCATTCACGTCGGAGACAGCCACATGAAGCAACTTGCGGATGGCCTTGTTACTGCCAGTTCCGTTATATGCCATGGCCAAAGTGTACATTCCAGAGCGACGAAGGACTGGGTCCTTGTCGGTGGAGAGACTGGTCACCAAGGGATCGGCTTCTTCCAATCGGGAGAACATGGTAAGCGAAATGCCAACGGCTAAGCCACGTAGGATCTTTTCGTGCTGCGTTTCCTGAGCATAAGACACCATATCCTCGATAGCCTGGGCGTTCTTGGAGCCCAGCATTACCATTCCCATGGCAATGCCCGCTGCTTCTCCGGTAACTGCATCGTCCTGGTACAGGTTGAACTTCAGCTGCTCGTACAAATCCTGGCGATGGGTGCCCATTCCAGCGAGACCGAGACCAAGGCATCCACCGTGGCGCACGTTTTCGTTCTGGGCATCCTTTAGCTGTTGCAGCAGATAGTCAATTATATTGGCTCCATGGTTGGCGTGAATCAAGCCCAAGGCATAGAGAGCGCCGCCCTCGGAGTAACCCGAGCTGGGACCTGCCTCCTTGGGCAGGTAACTTTGCATTAGTGCCAGGGAGTCCTTTTCATGCCCGCGATGGATCACACCCAACGATGCCGTGGCTGTCAGCTTGGCCCAATTCGTTGCCCTGGCCAGCCAGTCAAGATTGTCGCGCAGGAATTGGTCGGACGTGGTGCCACTGTGCATAAACGCGTTGGCAATCACGGTGGCTGTGTGGCAGATGGAAACACGCACAGCTTCCTTAGTGCCTCTCAGAACCTGCAGATCGGCGTGGTTGCTGCGGATAAGGAACTGCAGCTGAAGGTCAATGGACACCTCTCCTGACAGAATAGATATGAGCTTTTCGATGTTTTTCTGATGCAGTTTCTCCACCTCGTTGAGGGAGTCTATGGTGCGTTCAACCTTGGCATCGACTTCTTTTTCTTCGGTGATATCTTCACTTGATTTTGACTTGCTGTCATCCTCCGACTTACTGTCTCCAGATGTCGTTCCCTGAGGCTTGAACGTACTGGGCAGGGCGGTGGGAATGGGTGCTGTATTTTTAAGAGCCTGCAACACATTGCCAAGAAATTCTTGCGTGGCGGACTCATAAAGATCAAAGGCAATCTGGTACGCCATCAGGTTGTTAGATTCTACTGACGAACGAGTCAAGGCGTCAAGCATTTCTGCGACAGCTAGCGGATCCTCCAAGAAGATCAGGCACTGGCACATGTTGACATAGTCCGGCACACCCAAATCGCGATACAAGCCCACTAGGCAGCGCAGTACTTGGTTGCGGAAGCCCCGGTTCTGTATCAAAGACATGGTGACATTGTAGGCGTAGGCCAGCATGCCGCGCACATCGTCAGACTTCATGATCGCCACCTCGAAGATGTCCATGCGACGTGTCTCGAGAGCAATGCCCAAGGCCTGACGAAACTGGTTATCATCCAGACAGCGCTGAATCATCCTGTTGACAATCCCCTCCAGGCGCTCGTCCACGGCAGTGGCCTCCTTGGGATTCTCTATGAACTCCACCCGCTGGGCAATGTAGAAATCAATGCACTTGGCAATAATGGTTTCGGTGTATTCGTTCCTGGCATTCACATCGAAAAGGTCGCCTGCTCCCAGAGCATATGTCAAGGCGTCCTCGAAGGACCCCAAGTGATAGAAGACCTTGGAGGCCACCATTCCGGCCAGCTTGTTCTCCGGGAAGCTGCGATCCTCGTGCAGCATCTCGATCTTTTCGATGGACTCGGAGATCTCCGGCCAGAACTCATCCACGATGTTGTCCAGCTTCTTGAGGGCAAACACCTTCAGGTCCGGCATCGGCTCATCGAGAAGGGAAATTATCCCCGCGGCGGACGTAAGACTCATTTTCTCGCTTCGTTGTTTCCAGTTGAAAGTATTTCCTATGAATGTGTAAGTGACATATGTTCAATTTAGGTTCCAAATTCCCTTCTTCTATTCAGTGCTGGAGTAAAACTTTTGCGTACTAACCAAGTGCACCTTTATAATTTTCTTTATGCCGAAAAATGCTAAATCACTCGAATAGACAGTGTTGGTGCTGCCAGCTAGTCAAAGCGCTTTTTAAAATTGTATCTGGCAGCACTGGTGTTTTGCAAATGGTCACTCTAATTGGTCACATCACTCTAACCAAAAATATGTAATAATATTTCTCTGTTTCTTTCCTGTTTTTTACAGATTGGTTTAAATTAAAAAATAAGTATATAATTTCGAAAAACTTATCGAAACCGATTGTATCGTAAATATATAATGATACATTTCGATAGATTTGGTATTTTTTTCCAGGTGCTAATATGGTTACACGAATGGTCTCGCATCACAACAAAAAACGCGCGAAGGTTGTTGGGAACAAAACATCCAGCCGCACACCATTCCTTTGTGACCACAAACACATTGATTAAAAAACCATCAAAATGCTCTGCGAGGATCAACTTATGTCCGTGGATAACACGCCCCAAAAAGGAACGGCTAGCTTGAATTCTTCCGGATCTTCCATTTCCATCGATGTTAAGCCCATGATGCAAAGTTGGGCCCAGGAGGTCCGAGCGGAGTTTGGGAACAGTGACGAGGTAAACAGAGACTTGTAAATTAATGTGTTTTGTTGATTATTAATATCATTTACTTGGCAGGCCTCGAGTTCGCTAAATAGCAGCGCTGCCAGTAGTGCGTCATTTGTTAAGAAAGAATTGGTGGATATAAAACAGGAAGACATGGAAGAATCCCAGCGTGAAATGGCTTTCGAGTTCCTAGACGGCGTTAATGAGGAGAAATTTGAGCGACTGGTCAAAGAAGAAAAGTTAAAAACTCCATTTAAAAGGCGGCACTCACAAACGCCGCTAAGTGCTGAAAACAGTCGATCCAACAGTCCGAATAGTAGCAACTCCTCCTCCCATGAGGATGTTAAGCCTGGAAATAATAATGATAATCGTTTGCGTCACAACAATCGCCATTTCAAGGGCCACAAGGAGGAGAAGCGTGTGCGTCACAACAGCTACACATCCTCTACATCGTCATCGTCCTCCTATACTGAAGCCAACCCCGCTGTGCTAGCTCGCCGCCAAAAACAGATTGATTACGGAAAGAACACGGCTGCCTACGAACGCTACTTGGAGATGGTGCCAAAGACTGAACGTGCCCGTGAACATCCTCGCACACCCAACAAGTATGGAAAGTATAGCCGTCGCGCATTTGATGGTCTGGTTAAGATATGGCGTAAGAGTCTTCACTTCTACGATCCGCCCACTCAAAAGAGGGGCGAGGCGGACAGTAACTCCGACTCCGATTCGGATTAGGACCTTGTTTGGGGGTGGGTTTATCGTTGGGGGATTATTAACTAAACATCAACGCATAAGTAAGTACAAAGTTGAGATATCAAAATTAAGGAATCGAATACGCATTTTCCAACTACAAAGCTGTGTATAAAATTGTTACCACAAATGTTATGTTGAATAAAATGGCGTCTTACAAAATGTGTTGCATCTTTCTACCTGAGTCTAAGAAAACCCGGCAAACCCCTAATATGGGCCGCATATGGCAGTTTTACTATTTTCTGGGAAGAGTAAGTTCCATGTAATTCAAACGAATTTAGCGACTGAGAAAACTATAGTATAGTAGTTACATATTTTAAAAATAAATTACCAAGTAACTTTTTAAAGAATATGGGAAGATGTTTTTAAAGAGCGCACCATATGTTTACATATATGTATGTACACATAATTCACGAATAAAACTTATGTATTTACTTTATAGTTATTGCCTAGTTCTTGCGATAGAAACTTTAATGCACAGATATGTTATAAAAATTCATGGGAACCATCTGGCCCACAGCGAAGGCTATCGATTCCCCATAAATCTGCATCTAAACCTGGTGGCAAAATATTTTTCAGATTGTGTGCCCCATTTTCTGGAGGATCCCCTTCAAAATGTGAAAAATGCACTATGGCCTACAGCAAAGGCTGTTTCTTTGCCAAAACACATCAGATTCTTGAGCGGAATATCTTAATGGATTTGTATATCAATTCTCTATTAATCTGCATCAAAACCTGGTGGCAAAATATTTTTTAGATTTTTTGTCCAATTTTGTGGAGGATCCCCTATAAAATGTGAAAAATGAAGGGAGCCACCCTATGGCCTACAGCAAAGGCTGTATCTTTGTCAAAACACATCAGATTCTTGAGCGGAATATCTTAATCGATTTGTAGATCGATTCTCTATTAATCTGCACCAAAACCTGGTGGCAAAATATTTTTCAGATTTTTTGTCCAATTTTGTGGGGGATCCCCTTCAAAATGTGAAAAATTAAGGGAGCCACCCTATGGCCTACAGCAAAGGCTGTATCTTTGTCAAAACACATCAGATTCTTGAGCGGAATATCTTAATCGATTTGTAGATCGATTCTCTATTAATCTGCATCAAAACTTGGTGGCAAAATATTTTTCAGATTTTTTGGCCAATTTTGTGGGGGATCCCCTTCAAAATGTGAAAAATGCATAGAAGCCACACTATGGCCTACAGCGAAGGCTGTATCTTTGTCAAAACACATCAGATTCTTGAGCGGAATATCTTAATGGATTTGTATATCGATTCTCTATTAATCTGCATCAAAACCTGGTGGCAAAATATTTTTCAGATTTTTTGTCCAATTTTGTGGAGGATCCCCTATAAAATGTAAAAAATTAAGGGAGCCACCCTATGGCCTACAGCAAAGGCTGTATCTTTGTCAAAACACATCAGATTCTTGAGCGGAATATCTTAATCGATTTGTAGATCGATTCTCTATTAATCTGCATCAAAACTTGGTGGCAAAATATTTTTCAGATTTTTTGGCCAATTTTGTGGGGGATCCCCTTCAAAATGTGAAAAATGCATGGAAGCCACACTATGGCCTACAGCGAAGGCTGTATCTTTGTCAAAACACATCAGATTCTTGAGCGGAATATCTTAATGGATTTGTATATCGATTCTCTATTAATCTGCATCAAAACCTGGTGGCAAAATATTTTTCAGATTTTTTGTCCAATTTTGTGGAGGATCCCCTATAAAATGTAAAAAATTAAGGGAGCCACCCTATGGCCTACAGCAAAGGCTGTATCTTTGTCAAAACACATCAGATTCTTGAGCGGAATATCTTAATCGATTTGTAGATCGATTCTCTATTAATCTGCATCAAAACCTGGTGGCAAAATATTTTCCCCTTCAAAATGTGAAAAATGCATGGAAGCCACACTATGGCCTACAGCGAAGGCTGTATCTTTGTCAAAACACATCAGATTCTTGAGCGGAATATCTTAATCGATTTGTAGATCGATTCTCTATTAATCTGCATCAAAACCTGGTGGCAAAATATTTTTCAGATTTTTTGTCCAATTTTTTGGGGGATCCCCTTCAAAATGTGAAAAATGAAGGGAGCCACCCTATGGCCTACAGCAAAGGCTGTATCTTTGTCAAAACACATCAGATTCTTGAGCGGAATATCTTAATCGATTTGTAGATCGATTCTCTATTAATCTGCATCATAACCTGGTGGCAAAATATTTTTCAGATTTTTTGTCCAATTTTTTGGGGGATCCCCTTAAAAATGTGAAAAATTAAGGGAGCCACCCTATGGCCTACAGCAAAGGCTGTATCTTTGTCAAAACACATCAGATTCTTGAGCGGAATATCTTAATCGATTTGTAGATCGATTCTCTATTAATCTGCATCAAAACTTGGTGGCAAAATATTTTTCAGATTTTTTGGCCAATTTTGTGGGGGATCCCCTTCAAAATGTGAAAAATGCATGGAAGCCACACTATGGCCTACAGCGAAGGCTGTATCTTTGTCAAAACACATAAGATTCTTGAGCGGAATATCTTAGTCGATTTGTAGATCGATTCTCTATTAATCTGCATCAAAACCTGGTGGCAAAATATTTTTCAGATTTTTTGTCCAATTTTTTGGGGGATCCCCTTCAAAATGTGAAAAATGCATGGAAGCCACACTATGGCCTACAGCGAAGGCTGTATCTTTGTCAAAACACATCAGATTCTTGAGCGGAATATCTTAATCGATTTGTATATCGATTCTCTATTAATCTGCATCAAAACCTGGTGGCAAAATATTTTTCAGATTTTTTGTCCAATTTTTGGGGGATCCCCTTCAAAATGTGAAAAATGCATGGAAGCCACACTATGGCCTACAGCGAAGGCTGTATCTTTGTAAAAACACATCAGATTCTTGAGCGGAATATCTTAATCGATTTGTAGATCGATTCTCTATTAATCTGCATCAAAACCTGGTGGCAAAATATTTTTCAGATTTTTTGTCCAATTTTTTGGGGGATCCCCTTCAAAATGTGAAAAATGCATGGAAGCCACACTATGGCCTACAGCGAAGGCTGTATCTTTGTCAAAACACATCAGATTCTTGAGCGGAATATCTTAATCGATTTGTAGATCGATTCTCTATTAATATGCATCAAAACCTGGTGGCAAAATATTTTTCAGATTTTTTGTCCAATTTTTTGGGGGATCCCCTTCAAAATGTGAAAAATGCATGGAAGCCACACTATGGCCTACAGCAAAGGCTGTATCTTTGTCAAAACACATCAGATTCTTGAGCGGAATATCTTAATCGATTTGTAGATCAATTCTCTATTAATCTGCATCAAAACCTGGTGGCAAAATATTTTTCAGATTTTTTGTCCAATTTTTTGGGGGATCCCCTTCAAAATGTGAAAAATGCATGGAAGCCACACTATGGCCTACAGCGAAGGCTGTAACTTTGTCAAAACACATCAGATTCTTGAGCGGAATATCTTAATCGATTTGTAGATCGATTCTCTATTAATCTGCATTAAAACCTGGTGGCAAAATATTTTTCAGATTTTTTGTTCCATTTTTTTTTGGGGGATCTCCTTCAAAATGTGAAACAGGCATGGAAGCCACACTATGGCCTACAGCGAAGGCTGTATCTTTGTCAAAACACATCAGATTCTTGAGCGGAATATCTTAATCGATTTGTAGATCGATTCTCTATTAATCTGCATCAAAACTTGGTGGCAAAATATTTTTCAGATTTTTTGGCCAATTTTGTGGGGGATCCCCTTCAAAATGTGAAAAATGCATGGAAGCCACACTATGGCCTACAGCGAAGGCTGTATCTTTGTTAAAACACATCAGATTCTTGAGCGGAATATCTTAGTCGATTTGTAGATCGATTCTCTGTTAATCTTCATCAAAACCTGGTGGCAAAATATTTTCCAGATTTTTTGTCCAATTTTTTGGGGGATCTCCTTCAAAATGTGAAAAATGCATGGAAGCCACACTATGGCCTACAGCGAAGGCTGTAACTTTGTCAAAACACATCAAATTCTTGAGCGGAATATCTTAATCGATTTGTAGATCGATTCTCTATTAATCTGCATCAAAACCTGGTGGCAAAATATTTTTCAGATTTTTTGTCCAATTTTTTGGGGGATCCCCTTCAAAATGTGAAAAATGCATGGAAGCCACACTATGGCCTACAGCGAAGGCTGTATCTTTGTCAAAACACATCAGATTCTTGAGCGGAATATCTTAATCGATTTGTAGATCGATTCTCTATTAATATGCATCAAAACCTGGTGGCAAAATATTTTTCAGATTTTTTGTCCAATTTTTTGGGGGATCCCCTTCAAAATGTGAAAAATGCATGGAAGCCACACTATGGCCTACAGCAAAGGCTGTATCTTTGTCAAAACACATCAGATTCTTGAGCGGAATATCTTAATCGATTTGTAGATCAATTCTCTATTAATCTGCATCAAAACCTGGTGGCAAAATATTTTTCAGATTTTTTGTCCATCAAACACATCAGATTCTTGAGCGGAATATCTTAATCGATTTGTAGATCGATTCTCTATTAATCTGCATCAAAACTTGGTGGCAAAATATTTTTCAGATTTTTTGGCCAATTTTGTGGGGGATCCCCTTCAAAATTTGAAAAATGCATGGAAGCCACACTATGGCCTACAGCGAAGGCTGTATCTTTGTTAAAACACATCAGATTCTTGAGCGGAATATCTTAGTCGATTTGTAGATCGATTCTCTGTTAATCTATATCAAAACCTGGTGGCAAAATATTTTCCAGATTTTTTGTCCAATTTTTTGGGGGATCTCCTTCAAAATGTGAAAAATGCATGGAAGCCACACTATGGCCTACAGCGAAGGCTGTAACTTTGTCAAAACACATCAGATTCTTGAGCGGAATATCTTAATCGATTTGTAGATCGATTCTCTATTAATCTGCATCAAAACCTGGTGGCAAAATATTTTTCAGATTTTTTCGCCAATTTTGTGGAGGATTCCCTATAAAATGTGAAAAATGAAGGGAGCCACCCTATGGCCTACAGCGAAGGCTGTATCTTTGTCAAAACACATCAGATTCTTGAGCGGAATATCTTAATCGATTTATAGATCGATTCTCTATTAACCTGCATCAAAACCTGGTG